GTGTGTGTGTGTGTGTGTGTGTGTGTGTTCACTGCTGGGTGTGTGTTCGTGTGTTCACTGCTGTGTGTGTGTTCGTGTGTGTGTGTTCACTGCTGTGTGTGTGTGTGTGTGTGTGTGTGTGTGTGCACTTTGGAGGGGTTAAATGCAGAGCACTAATTCCTAGTATGGGTCACCATATTTGTCACTTTTTTTCTCAATAGTACTAAAATAAAATACTACTAAAATATAATAGACATTAGTACGTGAAAAGGAATAAATGTTAAAACCTTGACAGAAACAGTATTTCGCATACTAGTGATAAGACGGAAGTAACTTAGCAAGAACTCTCGAGTGAACATCACCTCAGTGAAACAGCGGTGCAAAACAATAGAATACATTTTTAAATTCACAGAAACTATACCTCAACCTGACCTTAAGCCATCGTTTCACTTAAAAATAAGAGGCATTTAGAGTGTTAAGCAAACAATAGGCTATTAATCTCTGCCTAACGTTACCTGCCTCACGAGCCACTGTTTGCTGTCAGTGAACAGCCTCGTGTTACAGGAAACTCAAGCGTTCAGTAGAAGTACAAACCTCGCTCTTTCGCGTCCAGTACACCAGCAGGGCCCCCAGTCGCTCCTCTCTCATAATCATCTATTATTTCCAGAAGAACTCTCTGACCGATCTGGATTAGAAGTTCTCGCAGAAGTGCCGTGTTATCAGGCCCAATTGCAGTTTTTTCGATCATGCACTCGAAAAGATCAATCCCCTTATTGATTTTCTCGAGCCTTTTCTTCCCGATGTCGGTGCACAAAAACTTTAAACTTGTCAAATTGTCTTCAGTGAGTTTATCCGAGATCGCTAGTAGCATCGCTCTAAATCCGCTCTTCTCCATGATGAGTCTGTTTGAAGGCTAACCCCAGTAACTGCTACAGCGCTGCCGCGCGACACCCGGGCGCTTCATCTCCCGCTTTCGCTTTCAGCTCTGGATCTCACCATCATGAAAATCCTCCACTCTGCCTCGGTGGGTCAGCTAGAAACAAAAAATGACACCCGCCAACAACTTCAGTCTGAAGGTAACTTGTTTCAGATGAGTCGTTCTTTTGAACCAGTCTTTTTTAGTGTTGGGTCGTTCTTGAACGACTCGTTCATTTTGAACGACTCTTTAATGTGACTCGGGAAGAACGAGTCGTCTCGGGGAGTGATTCGTTCAGTCGCGCATGCGCAACATCCTATAGGTTCTGTACTGGAATTAGTCAAGTAGTTCACCTGTTTCGAGTCTTCGGGTTTTTCCGAGTCGTTCGTTCATCACGTGACAGCCCCATAAACCCAAACCCGAAGACTTAGTTGTCAGATAAGAGGTGGTGAGCTAATCATAGATTGAAGACCCAGGTAAACAATGAATTAATCTTTTCTGTTTCTTATAGCAGTTTTGTGTTGTTTGTAGTGTGATCAACGTTTGCGTAAGTAGTAGATGTGTTAGGGAAGTAACACGTAACATTTTAACAATATTTTGCTAAAATGAACGAAATGACTCGAAAAAAGAATCGTTCATTTTGCTGAACGAGACTCAAAGGTCCGAGTCGGTAAAATGATCCGAACTTCCCATCACTCATAATGAATCATTTGGACATATTCGCTACTAGCGGTGTCCGATTCGAGGGCGAATTGTTCATTTGAGTCGACTCTTTTAATATTCCCGGTTCACGATCACGTTCTGGAGTCAAAATGAGCGGTTCAAAGTTCTAAGTAGTGCCAAAATGATTGTAAGAATTCGGAACTAAACCGGATTTTCAAGCGTAATTTTCCGAGTTACCAATAACTAACGTTAATGGTTTGAGTTGTTGAACAAGTTCATTTGAACTGAACCGAGAAAAATAACGTAATAGCCGAACATTGGAACTGTGGTATGATTGTACGACCAACGAACACACGAGACGTAGATTTTTTTATTATTATATATATATATATATTTAATAACAAACACACGCGCGCATTTTTCCCAGAGATGTACATGATTCAACTGACGACTCATTTTTGTGAACCAAAAGAATCGATTCGCAAAATGATTCGAATTTCGCAACACTGAAGGAGGGAACTGAAGTTCTATTGCTCCTCCTCCTTTATTTCACCCAAAAGGAGGGCACTCTGTGGACACAACAGGCTACCGAGCAATTTTTTTTCATTATTTATATAATACTGTATATTTTCTATTTCTTTTTTGTAGTTTATATTTGTTCAGTACCTTTATATATGTTGGAAATCAATAAAAAAAATCAACAGGCTACTGAGCAGCAGCAGCAAATATGAATTCAGTGAGTTTCTTCTCCAAACATTGGCCTTCCGGTCAGCAAAAGAGTCAATAAATGTATACATAGCCTACCAAATGTATAGGACATATTTATTTTCAAAACATAATTCAAAAGCAAAAGTACAGTCATAACCTCCCATTAGCAGTTTGAGACACTGAAACGCTACAATGACATAAAACATTTAAAGGTTTCTTTCTTTCTCACAGTATGTGGGATGAAGTAACAGTCTATAAATGGGTTTACATTGTCAATTTATAATAAAGCTAAAACCAAGGCCCTTTTTTTTTTAAAGTGAGGAAATACAGAGCGTTGTTTAATAATTCAGTTTTATCAGAAAAAAGCATGTCATATGTCCAAACAGAGTATGCCTTCATATGTTATATTCATTTCAATTAAAACCACTCTTTTATTTATCATGCTAGACATAGTTTCTGTAAATGGAAGACACATGCAGCATTCCAATATATATCTCTTCCATCATCATTGCCATTTTATAAAGGTTGAAACTTCACAAACCAAGACAAGAGAACATTCAGACAGGCAGACACAAAACTCTGTCCACATGACCCATTAATAAATGCAGTGCATTATCATGAATATTAAGGCATCTTGAACGTGATGGGTTTATATACAGTGTACCCTTTTCTCAGCACAACTTGATAGCATTTTCAGACGCACTACCTAAAAACCAAGCACTTGCATGCTGCCAAAACTCCCCAAGATCAATCGACACCCTGTCAGAATCACTCCACCGCATATAATAGAAATTCTAGAATACTAAAAAAAAGACCAAGTGAGCATTAGTGACTTTAATTTGTAGTGTTTTAAATCTATATTTTATATATAGACAGCTAAAGGTGAAACCGACACAATCATTACAATGATAGAACAGAACTAACTGTACTTAGTACCTAAAGAGGACACAGCATGATATTGATAGTTGCTAATTCACTTGACCAGAAATATTCGGAATGAAATGTCTAATATTAAATCATTTAAAAAGCACGTTAAACGAGTTGGTTCAGAGTTCAATCCTATCCTATCAATATTGAAAACATGAACATTACATTTTCATGTTAAAATTCATATAAAAGCATTGCATTTTCAAATAAAATGCTCATTAGTTGTCTCTAAATGCTAAAGCAGCGATGCTTCACAAAACTTAATACAATATTCATCAGTCAACAGATAAATACAATACAAACCCTACAGCCCTCTTTCCAAACACACCTACCAGCAGAAGTTGCATATAGCTGATAGAAAAAGATGCTTAATTCAGTAACAAACAAAAGAAAAAATCTTTTTCTTGTAACTTTTTTCTGGTATACCAGTGAGGTGGCAGTCATGTAACATTCTTTGTAACAACATTGATCCTTACAGCAGTGGTCCGCCAGGTCAGGCCAGTCTTCTACAGACTCTCCATTCTGTTTGAGCAGGTCACAGAGCTGGACTGAGTTATAAACAGGCCCTAGAATGGACCGTATTACTGCTTCCCTCGCAGCACTGGGATCAGAGAGAGTGCTGGACTAAGCTTGTGAGCTGGGACGTGAGCGCAGCGGCTGGGGGCTTGGGTCACCGATGGTATTCCTGTACTTCTTGCCCCGTTCCTGTTTCATGAACAGCTCGACAATGAGGTTCCTCTCCTTGTGTATCTGAATGCTAATATCCTTGGGAATGTCTGGGATTAGCCAATCCACAAAGTCACTCATCAGCATTACCACATTCTGAACAGAGAGACGAGAGAGAAGAAACATTTGTATTAGAAAGACTCCCATAGATTGGAACTAACTCATAGTTAGTTTACTGTAATCAGAAAAAAGTTCTATTAAATTGTAAAGTGCATTTGTAAGTATATATCAAGGTCAGTGTTACTGCTGTTAACTTAAACAACTACAATTATTAAAACTTTTGTTAATTGAAATAAAGCTGAAATATTAGAAACTTAAATGAAAATTTGAAATGTTGAAGAACTAAAATTACTCAAATTAAATAGAAAAAGTAACAGCAACTAATAAAAAGCACATACAATTTTTATATATATATATATATATATATATATATATATATATATATATATATATATATACACACACACACATATACTGTATACTAAAATAACACTCATCATGGTAGTAGCTGAAATTAATTTATACCCATTTTAATAATGGTCACAAATTATTAAAATGGGCATATGGACAGGATGATGTTTTTGGTGTATTACAGTAATGAAAGTGAGATTTTCCACTTTATAATAATGAGAATTATGAGTTAGGAGCATTTTAATAATTTAAATGAAATATAATAAATTTTCTTTATCTAATTAAACAACAACAACAAATTATTATTATTATTGAGGTGAAATTATGATCTTGACATTTCTTTGTAAAAATTCATCATTGATCAGCAATCAAAAAAGTTGGTATTTTATGAATTAGGTTTTGACCGACCTGAAAGACAATGACGAAAGCTAATCGGGCCGCCAGAATGGCCCAGAATTCTCTTGAGAACTCATATGGCGTGGCAGACCATGGAGGGTCCCTGTAATCCTTATATCTGTGGATAGCATTATGTAAACATTATGAATATAATACACAGTCATACACCACATTAGAAAAATCAGCCAGACACACAAAAGAAAGACTCTTTAGTGCAAAACAAACCAAGTACCTGCAAACCTCCACTTTGTATCCCAGATGCATTGGCTCCATGGGCTCTGTGCCAGGCTGGAAGTGACTAACATTGAAGTATGAAAGGGTGTGATTGACAAAGCCATGAAGAGTCCCGTCTGGACTGTACATGTACTGATAGACCAGGCGTGGGATTAAGTCAGAGGTGAATGCGATCACAAATGCCTGAAGAGTGACACATTAGGATTAGCTCTCACCAAACCTTGGTAATGAGTTTGTTAGGGTGTTCTGGGTGTTTGTTAACTGGCCCTGTGTGGGAGATTTCTTTCACCTGTTTTATCATCCACCAGCTGAAAATCATCAGTCAGATTGCTCAGAAAAGTAATAGCACACCTCTGCTCAACAGGTGGATGATTGAAGGTATCACTCATGTTCACAGCACAAATTTTGCAGAGGGAGTTATTCCCCAAGGATTATTGCTTACGTTTGAAAAATGTATAGTAAATCTGAGCAGGAACAATATTGGTAATGATGCTTGCCACTAATAATTACTTTCAATGCTCGGCAGTATACAGTACATCACATGTACAGCACTAATTTGTTACAGAACAAACACATGGAATTAAAAACCTACATTAACAATGACAGCCACTTTACTGAGTCCCCTGAGAAGAGTGTACCAGATTCCTGGAAGACAAAGAAACGTAAGATTACACATATTTGTATTTTAAATGTAGTTATACTTAAAGTCACTAATGCCACGATTGTCTTATTTGTCATGAAAGTGAATAAAATACACTTTATTTTTCTTTAAGCAAAATCTAATCTAATGAAAAAATCTTAAGTATAATTATATCCTTAAATCAAAATATAAGAAAAAAATATTTATAGAAAAAAAAAATCCTTTTGCTATAACCACATACTTGACAGGTTTTGTGAGAGTCACAAAAAACGCGTATTACATTATAATACCACTAGGTGGTGATAAAGTTTTGACAAAACTTACAGGGAAGATTGTTACATGTGACAGCTTGCCCTGATATCAGTATGAATTATGAATATGCACTGACCTGACATGAAGATCAAACCTTTAGTTAAAATCTACCTTTATCATATAGTTGATGACTGCCAGTGGTAGCTTATAGTATTGCTTTATCCAACAGCTATTATATATATATATTTTAAATTGTATATAAAAAAGTGTATATTGTTGAATTTTAGTTCGTAGAACATCATATATTAAAAGTTAAAACCTCATAGCAACTGAGATAGCCTTGTGATGGACTGGCCATTAATTAATCCAGAGTCATTTCCTGCTTACAGCCTGAGACGCTGGGACAGAACTTGCAACAACATGCTCTGCCTCCTTCAAATATGACTAGAAACAACCATTTCAATGTCCTTTCCGATATTTCCTGAAGATCAAATCACGAATAAAAATGTCAGTTTCATTATGGGGTATTATTTTACTCCGGTTACGGAGAACCAGAGTAGGGGGGAATATGTAGGGTCAGACCCCACCGCCAGGGTGTCGGGTACTTCGGTCCGTCATCGCTCGAAAAAGCCCCTGGAGCTCAGCTTTCATGGTTACGGAGAACCAGAGTAGGGGGCGTCATCTTACTCTCATGCCCGCCAGGGTGTTTGGTACTTGGGCCCGTCATTGCTCGAAAAAGCCCCTGGAGCTCAGATTTTTGATTTCCATAGACATTTTTTACCTTTTATAAGGGCAACTTGTTTTCTAACCTTATTAAACATATGTCAACTTTTATATCAAATTCTTAAATGTAATTTAAGAATTACAATCTGGGCTATTGCTTAACTATAGCGCAGGTTATAAAAAGGTCCTATTAAAAAAATATCCTAAATTTCAGAGTATATATAATTTGTAGTATATTATTCTGTACATTTACATTTATGCATTTGGCCCAAATTTTTTTTATTTTATTTATATTTATCAGTTCCCATGATAAATCGAACCCATGACCTTGGCATTGTTAGCGCAATGCTCTATTGTTTGAGATACAGGAATGCTATAATTACGTGTATAAACATTACATTTCTATTACATTTGAATAAAGATCACGAATAATGCATTGAAAATCAGTGTGAAGATACTGACCGATGTCTTTTGCTCTTACAGCAATCGGCCTTCTCAGCTCCGTGACAAACTTTTTGGCATCAAGACGGATCTCAATGATGTTGTTCAGTAGAGCAAAAAGGGGAGCCAGCGGAAAGGAGGCCACAAACACGGTCACCATCCCAAACTGAATGACTAGATAAGAAAAAGAAACAAATAAAAACTTCCATAGAAGGTTCCACTGAAGCACAACTCACAGAATAACTGAGAACATCTTATCAAACATAATGAAATAAACCAGACATTGATATGCTGGGAAACTTGGTCTTAAGTTCAAAATCAAAAACACAAATCGCCCACAGAGTAATTCACAAGAATTTAAATTTAAATCCTTTTTGGTCCATCCTGGATTGTCTTTTTTTATATATATCTATATATGATTTTAAGCTGATGCTCTGAATGTTACTAGTTTAGGGTTTCAGGAGGAGATATGGTAGTGCCATGCTCAGAGATGAAGGAATGGGACAGGAGAGACTGAGAGAGATAGAGGGATAGAAGATAGAAGTATGGATGGAGGATGGTAGATGAGGGGGTGGGATGTTATTAATGAATTCAAGCTAGAACTAAAGCTCATAATCTCCCCCTTTGGACCCATAATGCCTTTCTCTTAGCCGAAGTCCATCCCACGCTGTAGCACAGATGAGGCGAGATGAGAGGAGGGGCCGTTAACACACCAACTCCACGTATAATACTGCAGATCCTTCACAGAACGGACGTGCGTTTACCCTGTTTACTATGCACGCCATCTAGGGGTTTGAATTACTCTCATATAATAGTGCTTTGAACAGATGAGATGTATAAATCTGTCTAGTTGTGTTTAGACATTTCAATTAGTAGTTGTGGACCGCATGAATTTAACAATTCATAATCAGAATTTGCAATTACAATACATTTTTTATGATGCCGTGTTCCTACATGGGTGCAGAAAACAGAGCCAGCAGGACCAGGAGAGAATACAAACAAATGTTGATATGTCTGTACGTGTGTGTGGGCGCGTAGTGTGTACTGACTCACTCATTTCCATGTACTCTGGGTTGAGTCCGACAAAGGGCCCAAGGAAGTGGTCCTTCTCGTGACGATGAAGCGTTTTGTTCAGCTCTTCCTGATGCTTTTTGTCTATCTTGCGTTGTCGGAGCATTTTCTTCAGTTTTCTGTGACAAAGATATATTAATAATCATATATATTTTTATTTTTATTTATTTTTTTACATATATTAATAATAAAGTATTTAAACTTCATTTGAATGCTGTAGCATCCAGGACATCAATCGTTTAATAGATTTGAGAATTTAATAAATCTGACCAACTGAGGTTTCACTACCGAAATAAAGGGTAGGATCATGATTTTTTGGTAGTACAGCACAATGTGAGTTGCTTTTGGGATCTGAAAGAGCATTTGGATTGGGAAATTGTGACATGTGACATCAGACTCAGAAAAAGTTTGCAGATTCTGTTTGGACCTGCTCATATATTTGCTTTACCATTTGCCTGAGATGTGCTTACAATCCAGTATATTTGCATTTGTCCAAGAGCAAGATAAAATGTATTTGCAAGCAAGACCAGGTCAGCAAAGTCATTTAATGAAAAAAGGATTCTGCAAGGTATTTATAATGCTCTAGTCAAAGTACAATTATTCCCTAAAGCAATCATGTCTAGAAATGTCCACCACACCTATAATGCACAGTGGGAATCTATCAGATCTATCCTACATCTACGAAGGTGTTCGCTATGCTGTATGTACTCACGGAACGCCTATCTCAAACAGGTTATTCTGGATGAGCTGTTTGCCAAGCATGGTGATGCAGAGCTGAATGCACAATTCCATCAGACAGCCGGCATGGGCGCACTGCAGGGTGAAACAGAGAGAATTTCACTCAGTTACTATGGAGTTGACTGGCTACACACCTCCAAAAGTGTTAGTCATCAGGACTGAGGTAACTAGGACAATCTGTCAAGTTATTTTTCATATGATGATGTGGTTACAAGACTCCAAGAATAGAGTATGGTTAAGAATGAATTTTGCTTATACATACACATGTACACCAGTTGGTCAGTGAGATTCGTTGTTTATTTTTTTAAAATACATTTTACAGTTTATGCCTCCCCCCTCTTGAAAAGCACCACCTGCCACTGGCACACACATAAAAGGAGGAAGCTGAATACTAGATATGTACCTCTTCCATCCGGTAAGACCCCATAACGTAGATATATTTGCCAGGACGTCCAATGATTCTGGAGGCATTGGATAGAAGAAGGTCAAGAGCTGAGTTTATCAGCTACTGCACAAATGCAAGTGGAGATTAACAAAACAGACATTACAGTAAATGTACCCTAAAGGGGAGGTAGGGGGATTGTGGGTAGCTGTGTTCCATAACCTAGTGAGCAATATGTATGTTGTGCTTTTTAATGCTTGTGTTTCCACCCAGCTTCTTCACAGTCTACTCAGCAAGAATTCCTTGGTCAATCAGGTAGACCAGCATTTTTGGCCAGTGAACAATCAGGATCCAAGCCAGTACTATTATGCATGAACCAGCATGGAGGGGCACAGAAATGTATGCTGGTCTCAGCTGGTGTTTATGGAAGCTTGCTTCCACCATGGGTTACAAAAACAAAAACAAAAAAACAAGCTAATTGCAACTTTTTATCTAATAATTCTGACTTTTCTTGCAATTCTGAGTTTATATCTCATAATTCTGACTTTTTTTCTCAGCATTGCTAGATATAAGCTTGCAAATGCAAATGCAAATACAAAAAAAAACAAGTCAGTTCACATTTACTTTTTTAATTTTTTATTACTTGGTGAAAAAAAAAAAAAGAATTACAAGATGTAAACAGAATTCAGAGAAAAAAAGTCAGAACTGCGAGATGTAAACCCACAATTGCTCATTTATAAGTCGCAAATCTGGAGGAAAAAATTTGGCGTTGCAAACAAGCTTCCATATGCATTCCAGCAAGGAATTTATACTATTACGATACCTAATTTTGGCCAAATTCTAAAGGCATGTTCACACTGGCAGCCATATGCAGTGTCAAAGCCACGGGACATCATTCATTTTCAGTGAGCGATAACAATTTCAGGTGACAATTTGTTAGTGAAGCGACAAAGTTGAATGGAGTATCAGCAGTAATAAGAAGCTTCAACTACCAATGGGAGTGCAGATGGAATCAACGCCTCATACAGTTGGATACCGCTGAAGAGTAGGAATGCCAACTTGAAACCAAGAATGCAGTGACTCATTGTGAATGCACCATAAAAGAGCATCAATGGGATTTGCCGGTGGAAGTCTGCAGTAGTAAGTGTATGCTTAATATATTATTTCTATCGTTTAGAGTATTGCGCATTGCTAAATTACAGTAGTTGTGTTGATCTGTATTAATTGAACTGGTACTGTAGGGCAGCAGCAGTTTTTTGCCAGCCTTCAAAGTTATATGCTTTGTACTGTTAAACCAAAAGGCATTAGCTGATTTTACTTAATTACTGGTAAGTCATCCTTGTTTAAAGACTTAACTTATGTAATGATATGTACCTGTGCAGTCCAGTGAACAAAGACTCCAGAAAGGCACTTATTTCTACATTTTTATGTGTTGCTTGTTGTTCACCACACATACAAACCCTCTTTAGATGCAAAATATACTGCAGTACGACAAATCTATAAGCTCTTTGGCACTTTCTGATTAACTCTAGAACTGCAAGTCAGGAGTAAACAAATCAGAGACAGCTCTTAATAATCTCTTTGAATTCCATGCAATTCCTATTACAAAATTCCATTGTTTGTTATATATCATCCTCCAAGTCAGCTAGAAAACTTTTTAGAAGAGCTGGATTTGCTATGGATAACCTCCTTCCATGAATATGGCAGCCCAATTGTGGTACTTAATTATTTAAACATTCACCTGAATAAGCCTCAAGCTGTGGACTTCTAAGCTATACTAGGCTTGTTTAACCTCAACAATTTACCAACTTACAAATCAGGAAACCAACTGGGCCTCATTTACACAAGTAACTGTTCCACAGACAATGTCCACAGACATTTGTGATTTCCACCTTGCCTGCTGCACACTCTTCGCTGGTTTTCTTCCAACATAACCTCCACTCCCTCATACTTGTTTCTATGCTCGCCCACCTCTGTTCACCCAGCTAAAAGCTCCGCCTCTCTTATGTAAATAACATTTAAATCCACTTGAACATCTTGTCTAGACAGCATCTGTCCTCTGTCCTTTGCTCAGAACGCCCACTAACCCCCGAACATCTGATGTTCTTCGTGAAGCCAAACTTGAGAGAGAAAATGGCACCAATTGAAGGTTCCTGGTGAAATTAGTAGCATAAGTCAGTTCAAAAGCAGACACTCAAAAGCTGCCTCTAGATTAGTTGTTCTCATTCTGCTGGATCTGTCTGCAAGTGGAAATCACCAGATCCTACTATTTATAAGGTATCTCTGAAGTGAGCAGCATCTAAATCACATCAACTATCCATGGGGGTTCCCCAGGGCTCAGTACTTTGCCCCTTACTCTTTTCAGTATACACAACAATCACTGGGACCTATCATCTAGATACATGGATTTGAGAATAAAGCATGGTGACATTAAGACCACCCATGCTGCACCTAACACACCACACCTTCTCCTGGTCTCTATTATTTTACCCAATATCTATTAGTTTAGCAACACATTAAAATCAAAATCTCTCATGTATTTTACATGAGAAGCACTATATGTAGGGAGTTGATGTCTATACAGCCAAATCAGTCATTTCTTTTTCGGTTAGGATATAGAAAAGTAAATACTAGACAGCAGGGCAGCTCACTAGGTTTGGAAACAGACTTGCAGACTTGTTAATAACTTTTTAGTTCAGTATTTGTATGAGTATTTGCGTTCAGTTTCTGAGTGAATGCTTGGTAATAATACTCTCACGCTTGGTAATAATACTCTCACCTGCCTCTGAAGAATGCCAGGTACACAATAGGGGTAAATGCATTTGCAAACTTCAATATGAACGTCTTGAAGATCAGCCTCTCCTCAAAACTCTTGTCCGTTTTTGGCACCTCTGATGGGTTGAAAACAACAGCAAGTTCTGTAAATATAATGTTTTGCAACACAGCTGACAAACTAAATGTCTTGAGAACAATAACCAGAAGTACCCATAATAGTGAGCCAACGTGCAATTGCTCCATAGACCTCATCCATTATGATGATGATAATGAGGTTGATGATAGCAGCAGTGGTTTTAACGGTGGCCCGTATATTAGTGCGGAACGTGGGAGTGGAACTCATGTGCAGGGCAGTCATAATGGAGACCCTGTATAGCACCACACCAAACACGATGGCCAAGGTCACACAGATCTGCATTGAGCACACAAACACACACAATAAGAAAAGTGACTAATTATTATCAAATAATTTACTGACACAAATTGGATACAGCATCACGCAAAAGACAACATTATTGATTACCAATGCCATTATAGAAAGCCAGATGTAAGTCACCATGACTACTTTATTATGCAACTGAAAATGTCTGATAATAGAGGGCTTAATGAGATCAAGTGAGCAGTATTTGTCTGCTCTTGTGATTTCGACATGATGGCCATCCATATATAAAATAAATTGACTGGTTGTTAAAAATAAATTATATTTAACTACTAAATAAACGTTCTGAGAGTTCAATTCCTTTTATTTGTTATATTAAAGACCTATGTACATTACAGCATTATAATGAAAAAAAAAATGGAATAAGTCTTACCAAAAAAAACATCATGACGATAATAGTCATGTAAGCTGGCATTCTGTCTTTACATGTCAGCTTCACATTTCCTGCCTAGAAAAAGATATGAATTGTCAAATGTGAGATCAGAACATATAATCCAGACCACCCTAACACATGCATCTTGCAATAGGAACTTGGTCGAAAATCAGATGTGTAGATTCCAGCATGCTTTGGCCTCAGAAGGGACATAGAGGGTCAAGCCGAACAGAGCAAAAACAAGCCTCTAGACATGCCTCACAGCTGTGCTGTCACATAACATTCAGTATACTGCAACTGGGTCAACATCTACTGAGCGAAATACGTAATACCCAATAATCCAGACATCCTTATGACAGCAAGGATGGCATGCATAAGTCAATAGACAAAAATATTGCTAGAATCAGCATTGCCTGTGTTGTGCCAGACACTACAAATAAAGCCAAAACTATTTATCAGCATATGGTCTGGTCCACATTGTAGATTATTCTATCCAAGAACAACCCACTTGGACATGAAGGGGCCCACTAATCAACATGTTAAATGACAAACAACAGTTCGCTATTTCATGTGGCAGTACTGGCAGTCAAAATAATTAAGAATAATTAATTTTTTTTGTTTGTTTCTCATATGCTCACCAAGGCTGCATTTATTTGATGGAAAATACAGTACACACAGTAATATTCTGAAACGTTATTACAATTGAACATTTTTCAATTTCAAAATATAATTTATTCCTGTGATGGCACAACTGATTTTCAGCAGGCATTACTCCAGTCTTTAGTGTCACATAATCCTTCAGAAATCATTCTAATATGGTGATTCGGTATAAGAAACATTTCTTAATATTATCAATGTTGAAAACTGCTGCTTGATATTTTTGTAGAAACCATGATAGACTATTATTTAAATAGTTTAGGGTAAGATAAAAATCTGTTTTAAGACAAAAGTGACAGTAAAGACATTTATAATGTTACAAAAAAAAATCTCTTTCAAATAAATGCTGTTTTACTTTCTATTCATCAAAGAATCCTAAAAAAAAATGCATTACGGTTTCCACAAAAATATTAAGCAGCAAAAAAAAAAAAAAATTTAAACACTGATAATACGAACAAAGGTTTTCAACACAAGAATCATCAAAAAAAAATGTTACTAATCAAAGTCAGCACCAAATCAGCATATTACATTGATTTATGAATGTGACACAGTGAAGACTGGAGTAATGGCTGATGAAAATTCATTACATTTTAAAATATATTAAAATATAATACAATATAATATACAGGTAATTTAACTACAAAATCAAACCACACTGAAATATCTGACTTAAAATCCTGAGATAATGTAGGGTAAAAATGTCTTCACATCTTAAATGTGTTTTTAATACATAACTGTGCTCGCTGACTTCCAGAAATTGTGTAAATCCAATTGGCAATTCTGTTTGCAATATGTAGCAGATGGTCAGCACATGGTGAGCTTGATTTTTTTTTTAAATCTGAAGCTTGGATTCATAAAGACCTACCTTTGGGGATTGCTCTTTCTTTAAGGACTTCTTCATGACATGGAACTCATACTCTGCTCTCGGATGACTCTGGGGAAAAACAGAGAAAGCAATTCCCAACATATACAGGACTTAAAACCAGTTTAAAAGTGAAAAACAGTGGAAAAAGATAACTGGTTATGGAGCCAAAAGCAGCCATGTGCATGATCAGTGAACAGAACAGAAATTCTGGTAATAGCAACACAGTGACAATCAGTGAAAGTATAATCCTTAAAACCAAAAGCTCTCAGCACCACAAACTCCAGTCTTTAGTGTCACATAATCCTTCAGAAATCATTCTAATATGGTGATTCGGTATAAGAAACATTTCTTAATATTATCAATGTTGAAAACTGCTGCTTGATATTTTTGTAGAAACCATGATAGACTATTATTTAAATAGTTTAGGGTAAGATAAAAATCTGTTTTAAGACAAAAGTGACAGTAAAGACATTTATAATGTTACAAAAAAAAATCTCTTTCAAATAAATGCTGTTTTACTTTCTATTCATCAAAGAATCCTAAAAAAAAATGCATTACGGTTTCCACAAAAATATTAAGCAGCAAAAAAAAAAAAAAATTTAAACACTGATAATACGAACAAAGGTTTTCAACACAAGAATCATCAAAAAAAAATGTTACTAATCAAAGTCAGCACCAAATCAGCATATTACATTGATTTATGAATGTGACACAGTGAAGACTGGAGTAATGGCTGATGAAAATTCATTACATTTTAAAATATATTAAAATATAATACAATATAATATACAGGTAATTTAACTACAAAATCAAACCACACTGAAATATCTGACTTAAAATCCTGAGATAATGTAGGGTAAAAATGTCTTCACATCTTAAATGTGTTTTTAATACATAACTGTGCTCGCTGACTTCCAGAAATTGTGTAAATCCAATTGGCAATTCTGTTTGCAATATGTAGCAGATGGTCAGCGCATGGTGAGCTTGATTTTTTTTTTAAATCTGAAGCTTGGATTCATAAAGACCTACCTTTGGGGATTGCTCTTTCTTTAAGGACTTCTTCATGACATGGAACTCATACTCTGCTCTCGGATGACTCTGGGAAAAACAGAGAAAGCAATTCCCAACATATGCAGGACTTAAAACCAGTTTAAAAGTGAAAAACAGTGGAAAAAGATAACTGGTTATGGAGCCAAAAGCAGCCATGTGCATGATCAGTGAACAGAACAGAAATTCTGGTAATAGCAACACAGTGACAATCAGTGAAAGTATAATCCTTAAAACCAAAATTCAACAGTATGAATGCAAAAATTATTATTTTTCAATATTCTTTCATTCATTTCAATAGCTAGTGACTTTGGAAATTACTAGGTTCTCCTATAGCATCCTATTTTTTGGGAACCTGTATTTTCACATGTTTTATTATGGGTTTTCACATTCGGTTTATTTTAATTGTTTGAGTTCAGTTCACAATTTTATCGTATGTGTGAATACTCCCAACCACCTCAGACCTCTTTAAAGAGAACTAACACAGTTCACTTTAGGTTAGTGTGAATGGAAAGTGGATTGAGATGCCAATCAAAACTAAAGTGAACAAAAAGGAGATCTGAGACCACTTTCAGGGCCAGCGGCTGTATGAATGCAAAAAGAACTTGGTTCTCCTTCCACTCTATAAACTTTCTGGTTCAGTTAAAAAGGTTTGGCTTTGGATCTTTTAAAGAGGCAACCAGGTTTTTCTATAGCATCAGTTTCACACTTGGTTCGAGTTGATTTTGCTCCCAATGACATCAGTCCCCTTTAAAGAGAACTAAACAGAAACCATCTGAGGAAGTGGTCTAAGAACAGTTCACTTTAGGTCAATGTAAACGGAAAATGGTATGAGACACCAATCGCAACCAAAGTAAGCTAAAAAGAAAGCTGAGTCTATTTTCAAGCACAGCAGTATGAATGCAAGAATAACCGGGTTCTCTTTCCACACAATTCACTTTCTGGTTCACTTTCTTAAAAAGGTTTGGCTTTGGGTTCTTTTAAAACAGGACTCAGATTAGCAAGTAGCTTTGTCATAGAGTGTAATTTTTCATTTCAAAGCCTGTAACTGTAGAGGACCAAAACAGGAAAGGCAAATTTAGGGCTTTAGCTAAAATAATCCGCTTTTTAAAAAGCTCAGCATTTGAGCGGGGATGAGTATGTGGGGAATTAAAACAGAAGTGTAAAACCAGGGCACAAATCTCTTCAACATTTGTCAGAGCAAGTCTGCCCTCAATATGTACAGACACAACAGTTGGTGTACAGCAGCAACAAGCGTGCGGGTGAACATGAAAGGAGAACAGAGCTGCTGACCCCATAGTGCCATAAAGATGGCGAAGAAGACGGTGGCCGCATTGTCGAACAGGTGGCTGGCCCTAGCCGTGCCGCAAGCCGTGACCAGTTTCCAGTAGCTGCAGGCTCGGTCACACATTGGGCACATGGTGATATTGTTTCTCTCGTCGCAGACTTCCATACTGAGTATACAAAGAACAAATCCTGATTTCAGAAATACATCACATCTCTATATTTCCCTAGATACCATAATGTTTCTCAGTAAAGCTATTAAGGCCGCAAAGTATTTTTTTTCCTCATTTTTTTTTAGCTTTTATTAATCTGAAAGAAAATGCATTTATTCTATTTTCAGCTCTTGCTCCAAAACATAGTTGCTTTGATGTCTAAATAGATGTGGCTAATATGAAATGCTCTATAAAGGCAGCAACTATACGCACAAATAGTGATCTTGACATGAAATGCATAAATAAACTGTGCACTCATGCTTTAGCATGTTGCTATGCTAAGTATTACTGTATGTAATAAGAAAATGTCAAATGTTACAAATAAAACACTAAAAACTAAAATCAATAATTTAAAATTGTGGCAGCTTAACATTGTATTTGATTAAATTTCACAGCGTTATTTAATTATAATTAAAGAGGGAATTGCAGGGAGTTAATAATTAAATCAAATGTAAGATTAAAATAAATTAATGGCTGTTATTATCAAATTAAAGGCTGCAATTTAATTAAACGAGCAAATAGTCTGTTGCACTGCCTGTTTCAGAGTGAAAAGCGGCATTGTGTAACAGATTACAGTTTTTGTTTTATAGCATCAAAACACCTCGGTTAACAGTAAATGCTGCTTTGCACAAACTCCGTCTCTGTATGTGCAGTGAGTTTAATGTGCGTTTTTTGTTTGTTTGTTTGTTTCAATTTCCATTTCTGTGGACAGAAGTTTACAGCAATTCGCTGGTATTCTGCAAAAATTAAAGCTTTCAGTGTAACTTGCGGTGTAAAGGCAGCATAATTATGCTGACTACTCTTTGAAACATACTTCATATCAGTGGTGTTCCTATAATGCTTCATTTTTTTCCCTAGATAGGCAACGCACTAGGTTTTGGAACAGCTTGTTTTCAGCAGTGGCATCTGTGGAATTAATGAATGTCGTTGTGAGATGTGCCAGCGAACACTGAGTCACTCTCATTAAACACTACATTACAGTTCATTACAGTCACACCATTTCAAACCCACTCTAAACTCTCTAATTACCACGCACTTCAACATCCATCCGTTTTTCTTGCAAAGTTCAGCGGTGATTACATTCATAAATGGCTAGGCATATTCTTCGCTAAAAATCTTTCCACAAAGTTCAAAGCAATTGCGGAAGAGAATGTATTGCTATCAGGAAACGCTGCTGAAACTTGTTTCTTAGGGGTGTGAGACAGTGGAATGTGTTTGAACTCAGTGGCACAGATAAGAATGTGTCAATCAAAATTATTTGACAAACTAATTCTACATAATTAAATACAGTAATAGGCTGATCATTTATGTACATAACTGTCAACAGTTTATGGAGGGGTCACATGCAAGTTAGCACTCTGTACAAAAACAATGCAAATAAACCAATGACATCAATTTTATAAGGTGACCTGGGGATGTTGTCTTCCACAGTGGCACAGCCGTACAGGAACACGATAACTCCCACAATTGCTGCTGGGATTAGCATCTGAGTATACACACCCAACCAGGCAAAATACAGGCCCACTTTCTCACCAAAATACTTCCTAAGAGTGATAAAGAAGTTTCAAGCAGAGCAATAAAGGCAATGAAGTCAAGCAAAATAATTTACAATTACTATCTAGCAAACATAAGGAAGAATGCATCCTCTTCTGTAGCCCGAATGTTAATGAACTGTCAGTCTCTTCAATGTGAAATGAAAGATTATGTAAACAAAAAATTCTAAAAATGTCATGTTAAGTAATGAAATGAGTATAAAATAAGTAAAAAGAAGATATTTTGATTGTCCCCCCGCAGGATCCTCTTCATTACATTGTTCTCGTTTTTCCAATATATTTGTTTTTTTTGTGCTTATCGGTTGCATTACATGACTTTAAATATTATTAGTCATCAGTGTAGCAGTTTTGTCTAAACACAATTTTCCCCTAAAAATAAATAAATAAAAAAACTAATAATTTTGCCAGACTTTTGTATTACTTTGACATTTTTTATATTACTTTTGCTCATCATAGAAGAGTCCTATATGTATGATTTGCATTTGTAATGTATTTTTAGACTTAATTTTAACTTAATAGATCCAGACAAAAAAAATGAGTGCCAGGTTCATTGACATCTTAAAGGTCATCATGATAACGGCAGTACAATAATCCAGTAAACCAGTGTTATTTTAGTATTATTGATATACAATTATAGTTTTTGCTAATATTTTGAATTCAATCTTTATTTGTTTGTTTCTTTTATTAGTTCTATTTTTATATGTTTGCTCTTTAATTGTAGTTTAATGTTTTAATACTTTTTTTGTTTTTGTCATTTTAGCACTTTAAAGTAACTAAAATGAGAAATTGTTTTATTTTTAATGTTTAATTCTTGTATATTTTATTTCAGTTTTCATTACTTAAAATAGACATCAGACATTTAATTATTTGTCAGATTTCAGACATCGCTCATCCTAACTAATGAACTCGAACTAATGATAAATATTACATTGACAATCTGACTCATGAATAATGTGTATCAGTAGGATATTTCTAAAATCTCCCCTCTTGCTAGCACATAATTCCAGGGCAAACATTTGTCTCAATCTCTGGCAGTGCATTTATTGTCAGTATAATACCTGATCAGTCCAATGGGCTGGTACTTGTAGAATATGCTGTAACTCGCCCACTCTTCATACAAGATCTGCAAAGACAGAATTAAAATGACATACATCCTGGAACAGCGATTCAACATCCATTCATACAGTATGGCTGAAATGCACAGTGAGTGGGGTTTAATGGAATTTAATGCAATGACTGATTATTCACTGATACACTGATGAAAAGGACAAATGAAGCCTCTCAACGATCATGTAAGTAATTTCGAATGTAATGACTTCGGTTCGGTGCGCCTGGGGATGTAATGTACAACAGTAATATGAGTAAGTGAGGGTGGATTTACACCATAGCTGCACGGAGATCTCCAGTCTCCAGAACATAGTGCACACTTAAGTCAAAGAAAAGAAGCGACTGTAGCTGCAGTGTTTTGTCCGAGAAAGCAAGGAAGGGAAGGCCAAAACATTATGAAATTTGACATCAAATAATACACAAACCTCTAATAACAACATTCAACAGTGAAACCAGTAGATAAAGTCTGAGAAGCTACGTTTTCAACATATCCACAAATCGCCTTGAATGGGTCAAACTAGTAGAAATAGATGGATTAATTACCAAGTAAACAAGCAGTGATCACTCAGCTCAATTAAATAAATGGTGCACCTCCATACCTGCAACCATCAGTATATTTGCGGATTGATTATACAGAGGATTTGCCTAATGGTTCTATAAATAATGGCTGAATGTCCTGCATAAGTGGCGCAAGAGGCGGAGAAGGGAGCGGAGGCAAAAGTGGGGCAAGAAAGGCGGTCTACATGCCAAGCTACATGCTAACCCACATAGAACAGCCCTTCCAAGACTCTTTCTTACAAATTCCTGGTCAATCGTCAAAAAGATGGATGAGTTATGGTTGAGGATTATGTCGCGTGGTATGGATAGCTGTGTGATGATCGTCACGGAGACTTGGCTTAATAACAACGTCCCCCATGAGGCTATCGAACCGGAGGGCCGCTTCGTGTACCGAGCTGACAGGACTGCAGCCTCTGGTAAGAGTAAAGGCGGTGGAATGTGTAACTATGTTCGTAACAATTAGTGTATGCAACGAATGTTATTGGAACACACTGCTCCCCGGATTTGGAATATCTGGCAGTGAAATGCAGACCGTTCTACATGCCAAGAGATTTTTATGCCTTTCTGATTACAGCTGTTTACATACCACCACTGGCTAATGTCAGGTCAGCACTGGAGAAGTTGCACAGCACTATTAATAGTCAGCTAAATGCACATCCAGAGGGAGTTGTGATTGTAGCTGCAGGAGACTTCAATCATGTAGAAATGAAAGCTGTGTTTCACAAATTCTTCAAGTGCATCAATTTCCTGACCAGGGACAATAATATTCTGGATTAGGTCTATACGAACATTCCAGGGGCGTATAAAACTGCAGCATCTCTGTATCTTGGCATGTCAGACCACATCTCGCTGGAAATGACACCGGCCTACAGACCTCTTATCTGTCGATCAACACCAACTTTCAAAACCATACAAGTCTGGAGTCTGGAGGCTACTTCAGCACTTCAGGACTGCTTCGAATGCACTGACTGGGGAGTGTTTAAAAGAGGATGCGGCTCACAAGGTGGCGAAGAGACGGTCCAGCTATCCCAGCCTGAAGAAGAGTGGCAGTGGAATCTCATCCTTCAGTGTCATTAGGTGAAAGCTGCACTGAGCAAAATCAATGTCACCAAGGCTGCGGGGCCGGACACTGAAATTATGTACAGACCAACTTGCAGGAGTATTTCAAGACATCTTTAACCTTTCACTGCAGCTCAGTGTTGTCCCTGCTTGCCTCATTATAGTACCTGTGCCTAAAAGGTCAGCGGTTACCTGCCTCAATGACTATTGCCCAATGGCTCTGACCCCTGTTGTTATGAAATGTTTAGAGAGGCTTATTCTGCAGCACATTAAGAACATTACATCTCCTGAATTACACAGCTTCCAGTTTGCCTACCGGGGAAATCGATCAACGGAGGATGCAGACATCATAGCACTCCACACAGCCCTTTCAAATGTGGAGATGTCAAAAACATATGTCAGGATGCTATTTGTCAACTTCAGCTCCACTTTTAATACTATAATCCCACACAAACTGGTACAGAAACTCTACAATTTAGGCCTGTCCACCTCACTGTGCTTATGAATAGGGGATAACACATCCTCTACCCTCGTTCTGAACACAGGCACTCCGCAGGGATGCGTGCTCAGTCCAGCTCTCTTCACACATGACTGCACCCCTATCCATGCCTCCAATACTATTGTGAAATTCGCCACTGTAGTGGGTCTCATATCGGACAATTATGAGATTCTCTACAGAAAGGAGATCCATCACCTGGCCCTGTGGTGTTCAGCAAACAACCTAGTTTTGAACACCAATAAACCAAGGAGGTTATTGTGGACTTCAGAAGGTCTGGAAGGACAGCACATGCACCACTGCTCATACAGGGGGTAGAAATGGAGCGTGTCGAGAACATCAAGTTTCTGGGTAGCAGACCCCACTTGGGCTCTGAACACCTCCCACCTGGTGAAGAAGGCTCAACAAAGTATTTTCTTCCTCAGGAAGTTGAAGCAGGCTGGACTCTCCTCTCGGTTGCTGATACATTTCTATAGGAGTGCCATAGAAAGCATCCTATGCTATTGTGTGACTGTGTGGTATGCCAGCTGCACAACACAGGACAGGAAGGATTTGGCCCGGGTGGTTAAAACAGCACAGAGGATTTTTGGGAATCCACTTCCAGATCTGGACTTGGTGTATGCAGAACGCCTCCAGAAGAAGACCAAAAACATTGCCATAGACCCCACCCACCCGGGGTCATAGACTGTTTGGCCCCTGCCCTCAGGGCAGAGATACAGGGCCATGATAACACACAAACAGACTGAGAAACAGGTTCTTTCCAAGAGCTGTGACCTCCATTACACCACCTGCCTATACACCCTCCAGCTAATGACATAATTTGCACTTTATTTTGCTGTAACTGCTGCTGTTTGTTATTTATTGTTGGTTGATTTAAGTTGTTGGTTCTTTTGTTTAGTTTGTAACTGAGACTCACCAGACACAATTTCGTTGTGCAATAAAGTAAATTGATTGAACTGATTGATTGATTGAACAACAGTAACAAATAAAATATGTTTGTTACATATTTAAAAAAAATGCATAAACTTGATATGAATTGTATTTTAATAAATACTATAGTAGTATAAAATTAATTAATGGATGGATTAGCAAACTGTGCTACCTGCCATTTCCACGGTTGCCCCAGACAGCTATTTTTACTGCAGCTCAATCGTACTTGCTTGATACATGAGAAAAAAACCTCACTAGTTATTGAGGAAGAAATGTGCTTGTCTGTCAAGCGAGAACAAACATCACTGGTTCAACTGCGCAGGCACGTTTAAGCGGATCAATGTTTATATCTGAATAAAAGCCTGATTTAATCATATAAAGCAATGATTGTGTCTCTTCAGAAGACTTGGATTATACTGCTTTATTCATATAGATTACTCAAAATAAACAAAGTGAATGTATTCTTGAAATCTTTACTTGCTATATGCAAATTTGTGAGAGAAGTGAACTTTATAGACATTGTGTAATATGTTTTTAAAGAAGAATCTTATGCTCATCAAGGCTGCATTTATTTGATCAAAAATTGTGAAATATTATTACAATTAAAAATAATGGTTTTCTATTTGAATATGCTTAAAAATATATTTTATTTCTGTGATGCAGTGCAAAAATGTCATCAGCCAATACTCCAGTCTTCAGTGTCACATGATCCTTCAGAAATCATTCTAATATGCTGATTTATTATCAAAGTTGGAAACCGTTGTGCTACTTAATACTTTTTTGGAACCTGTGATACTTTTTTCAGGATTCTTTGATGAATAAAAAGTGAAAAAGAACAGCATAAAATCAGCGCAATAAAAGCACTTGACGTATATACCTACTAAGCTATGTTTTACAGGAACACTAGCATATACTGTATTTGCACGCAGATCTTACAGTAGTAAACACACTAAACACACCAAAACTCCAACTCTCTCCAAGGTCCCTTGAGGTTTGTTGTGAAAAAAAACTGAAACATTGACTCTTTTTCTAGTTCTTGAAAATCACCGTTATACATTATTTTGAGAAGGGCTACACTTCCCACTCAACAGCAAGCCTGCAAGAGAGCTGCTCACAGATGGCTGAAGTGGGAAATGATCCTGTTGCCTTGGTGACCTGACAATTATTCTGAGCTTGCTGCAGGCACGTCCAAAGTCTCACCAGGTCTCCTCTACACAAGCTACGTCTCAAGTTTCTTGAGCCCATTAATAGGGTTTAATTATATCTTAAGCAGTCAATATGAGAATCAATTACCACATTCTTACAGTATGCCATAAAAGTGTCTAACCAGGTGAAACAGGGTTTAAGAAATATTCAGAGGAAAATAAATGTTTTTTTTTTTTTTGAATTTTTAAACAATTTTAGAGAACAGATGTAGAGAGGATTCAACGATAACAACTCTTTTCTCAACAGATGGTAAAGTGAAGAACACAGACCGGAATTAAATAATTTATCCCTTTATATAGCTTATTGATTGTTCTCATCTGTATGCTGGAAACCTTACTGCAGGCACCATTTGGGCTTTGCAAATCCCTGACTTATGCCTTCAATATCTCCTATCACCCTAGGTACAAAGGCAGCTGTTTTTGTGTATCTAACATGTCAAAACTTTGCATGCCGTATTTCATTTATACATAGTCATTTCAGTTCACACTCAAATTTGATATTCACGTATCAAAACATAATGTGAACAGCCAGACAAAAAAAATGACCTGAGCAAAAAAAATCTAAATTGAGCACTAAGGCATGCAGTTTGAATGTAGCCCAATGCAAATAGAGGTTCGAAACACGTTTTGTTTCAAAAATAAGTGTGAGATTAAAATATCTGAAGTCTAAGATATAAGTATGTATTGTAATGTCTTTTACCTTTCTGTCATTTGCGTCAGCATTTATGCCATCAATATCGCCCTGTAATTAAAATAATCAAATGAACTTACACAAGAAATAGAACAATCAATTGGAGAGAATTGAAAGGATCTTTGTACACAAAAGAAAACAAAATATTATGTCACTCACATCATGCAAAGGGTAGGCCGCTGTGTAGATACCACTGCCCAGTAGACTGCTGATTCCTGTGAACATGAAATTCAGTCGAGTTGAGTGATTATTGTTGTGCTTGTAAATACAAAAGGGCTTTTCACAAATGCAATAGTTAACACATGTTTATTCTAAAGCTTGGGTAAATCAGGTTTTTCCTTTTGAATGGACCTTTTGGTGGACTGTAAAGGAAAGAATAAACAGTCTCTTCTTTACTCCAATTCACATTTTCTGTCACCACTTCCGTCACCAATGACTGTCAGTTGCGAAGTATGCATGCACAGCATCCCATCACTGCATCAAGTTTCTGCATCAAGTTTCTTGCGGTGCTAACCCTGCTACTAAATTACAAGTGTGAAATGTACATAGGGTCCCCAGGGTTAAAAGAGGGGTTTAGATAATCCTGCGTTAAGCACAGTGTGAACAGCCCTAAAGTATACTCGTGAATCACCAATCTATTCAACCAATCACTGTCCTTGGATATTAGGGGCAGGGTTATGTGTGAGTTGTTTGCTCATTATTTGTGCACATTTAAAGTTGTGTTGGTGACGTTATGGTTCAAACTTTACACAACTAACTGCGCTTCAACTGCAAGACAGCAATACCTTAGTTACACTTCATTTTAAAGGGGTCATATGATGCTGCTAAAAAGAACATTATTTTGTGTATTTGGTGTAATGAAATGTGTTTATGCGGTTTAAGGTTCAAAAAACACATTATTTTCCACATACTGTACATTATTGTTTCTCCTCTATGCCCCGCCTTTCTGAAACTCGTCGATTTTTACAAAGCCCATCGGTCTGAAAAGCAAGGTGTGCTCTGATTGGCCAGCTATCCAGTGCGTTGTGATTGGCCGAATTCCTCAAGCGTGTGACGGAAATGTTACGTCCCTACCATATTGTGATGCCTGCGGCAACCACATGTGACAACCACGGGCTGGACTCCGCTTCGTCCACGGTGAAAGCCGATCTGGCGATCGACAGCGCAAAGTTGAAGCATTTCCTGAGCAACCAGCACGGATCAGCTCTAGGCATGACGAAGCAGATATCGTCCTCTTTTGGAAGACCAAACAAAGTAGTTTCGCTTTCACAACAAAGCACACAGCGCCTTCACGACATGGCGGCGGTGGCAACAACAATACTACAGCAAGAATAAAAGTTACGCCTTCTTTCTTTGCGTGAACATTTGGGCGGCGTTATGCTAATCTTCCCACACAGTGACGTAGGTATGTGGGGGCGTGTTAGATTTTTAGGTAGGTGTGGCTGACTCTTAACTTTTATAAAGAATATCTCTTTGGATTTGAGACTTTAGTCTTTGCAGCTTTACAGATCTTCTTTATGCACCAAGAGCTTGTAACACTCCAAAGAGAAAGGAAAAATTTAAATTGCATCATATGACCCCTTTAAGATGTCCTTGTTAAAGTGTAATTAAACAATTAAGTAATGAGTAATATTACATGAGTAACAAGTACTTACTATAGGGTTAGAATTAGGGCTTGGTTTACTGTTAGTTTGTTATAATTATGTATAATTTAATGTTACTACTTTAGTAAGTACATGTACCATGTAACAAAGACACTCTAAAATAAAGTGTTACCATTGATTTTTGATAACATTTAAATTCAACAACAATGTTGGATGGGATTCAGGTTGATTTGCGCTAGTTTGTCAAGCAAAAATAAGAAACTGAGACTTACCCATGACATACTTAGCCCGTGTGCATTTTGTTCGCTTTAAAATCTCATACACCTGTTGATGATTAGAAATAGGTTTATAAAGATGATTATAAATAAAGATTATTATAAATAGTATTCCTTCTTGGTGATATACTAGACTCAAAACGTAACTAAAATGACATTAAATAGTAGTCAACAAAAGTTCTAAATACCACAGGATACCTTTAAGAGACCTAAAATAGCAAAAATAAATAAATAAACCCTGCTGAGAAAATCAATCGGAGGTTGGACAGCATTGTAAGAGGCAGCTGACAGATCAAGTGACTGAAATCATTGTCCACAAAAAGAACAACTTTGACGTCACTGACATTTTGGTGTGGAGCCACACAGGCCCTTTGGTAATCAAATCAGGGGATAAATGACACTTGGTCTTAAATCGTCCCTGACTAGGTAGGCAAAACGCTTTTCAAAAGGGACTGGTACTTACTATTGAGCTCCTGGTTTTGCTGTCGAAGAAGGAATTTCTGTCTGATAAATCAAAGCTGTGAAAAGAAACTAAGGGTCATTTAATTGACTGTTTTGTGCCTCCCTATTCAATTCTACAGGCAATAATATACCATAGGGCTGTAAAAACAAAAGGCACATTTACAGTACACTGCCTTTCAGAGGATTATTAGTGAGCATCCTTCATATTTCACTACTTTAACTTGAATTTTAATTTGAACATTCATAACAATCACGTATTGTTTTCTACAGTAAAAATAGCATTTGGCAAAATCATTTCTGATCATTTTCATTCATTGTACTCAATGTTGGATGTGAGGAATAGTTGTGAGGTAAGCAATCATCTTAAACATGAGCTTAAGTGTGGCCATGAATGACTATAGACTTACAGATGCTGCTTTTCTCGTGAGAACGGGTAGGAGAGGTGTTTCACATTTTCCATCCGGTTTTCCCCAACGTTAGGTTGCAAGGGTGCAGTGACTTTCTGCATAAACATGTTGACCTTCTCTACAATGCTGCTTCCATGGCTGACTTCATATTTCTGAAAAAGACATGATAGCACAGCAGAGTACATCATGCTTGTGTAGAACACACAGATTCTCTTTATCACGTGATAAGATACAAATAACAAATACCTTAAATGTAGGCATTTTTAACTTCATAAACTCTGCCTCTCGACAAAGAACCTCCCAAGGCGCATGGATCTTCAAGAATCCCACACCTGGTATTTTATTCTGAAAAACAAAGATAAAGAGACATGGCCTCAACATATCTGATATTGCAGATAGTGTTAGAGCACATATCACTGGCTTTCTTGCATTTAAAAAAAAAAAACATGAGTAGTGTTTGCAGTGGCAAAACTTGCGTGGTTGCTTACTGGCCCGAGTTTAAAAAACCCACCCCCAAGTCTCTATGGTATTCTGGCACCTACACAGGGGTCGGTCCATCCCGAGTCCATCTAAACTCATGTAATGGTTTTCCTGTTTTATTGTATGGTAGACAATATTCACAAGAAAGTAGTAGCGCCTCTTTTCACCAAGATTGACAATTTTACAGTAAATATCATTCACGTGTGTTTGTCAAATGGTGTGAGAGTTATACAACTTATACAATATTAATTTCCTGGGTTCAAGGTATGTTCAAATCACTAACTCTACGAGTGATATTAATAGTGATGCTTAATATTGATAAGCACTACTATCAATATCGTTCATTCATGGTATTCTGAAAGATAAACATGCAAACCATTCATAAACTATTCAAGAAATGGACAAGATCTCTTTTCAAGGGTTTAACACACTAGGTTTCCTTGTTCACGGAGGACCTTTTGAGAGAAAATAAATTCACGGAAATGAAGAAAAAATCTCAGAAGAGAAGGACTTCTCTCTTGGTTTTCTGAAGCTGAAAAGAGGGTTATGTAAGATCTGCTTCAAATGACCCACTCTTGTTATAACTCACATCCCACACATAAGGTCTGACCCAGTCTGTTCAATCCCAGCCACTGCTTTCAGCGAAGTACGACATAAACAGGTATTTCTACTCATAGACTACATTATATTCAAGTATTTACAAGCCTAATTCAACCCCAATTAAATGAACAATCACATCTTGACATGGTACCATTTTAGTTGTGAATGTGTTCCCACAACTTAGTGATATATAACAAAATAACTTTTAGAATAAAACAGATTTCAGAACATTTGTATTTTATATTTCCCTCTCTAAACCCAACGCTTTAATCTTTTATGACATCATGTTTAGGGGAGTGACATCACTGTTTTTGACAACATGGTTTAAACAGAGCAAGTTTTTCTAATAGTCTTATCAGTATTTCATTATGTTTACATTCACATTGGCCTTGTCAAGCTCAAGAGTTATGGGAAAAAACATAGTGATCCATTTTATAGAGAGAAAAATATTGTTTTTGGCACAAAGTTGGGTCCGAGATGGAATAATACGATTCTTTAAAGGGTCATATGATGCGATTTCAATTTTTCCTTTCTCTTTGGAGTGTTACAAGCTCTTGGTGCATAAAGAAGATCTGTAAAGTCGCAAAGACTAAAGTCTCAAATCCAAAGAGATATTCTTTATAAAAGTTAAGAGTTAACCACGCCTACCTAAAACGGCTCGTTCTAACACACCCACACATATCTACGTCACTATGTGGGAAGATTTGCATAATGCCACCCAAATGTTCACGCAAAGAAAGAAGGCGTAACTTTTATTCTCGTTGTACTATTGTTGTTGCCGCTGCCGCCATGTCGTGAAGACGCTGTATGTTTCATTGTGAAAGCGAAACTACTTTGTTTGGTCTTCCAAAAGAGGACGATATCTGCTTCGTCATGCCTAGAGCTGATCCGTGCTGGTTGCTGAGGAAATACAACAACTTTGCGCTGTGGATCGCCGGATCGGCTTTCACCGTGGACGAAGTGGAGTCCAGCACGTAAAAAGACAGTATAAGTCATTATAATCCATAATTTTTTAGAACAATGGGCTTTGTAAAAATCGACGCGTTTCAGAAAGGAGGGGCATAGAGGAGAAACAATAATGTACAGTATGTTTTTTTAACCTTAAACCGCATAACACATTTCATTACACCAAATACACAAAATAATGTTATTTTTTAGCAACATTATATGACCCCTTAAAGGTTCAGCAATAATATTCATGTGACTTTTTCACAGAACTGCTAAATCTTGGTCCTTTAGAATAATACTTCAGTTTATTATCCTCTGCATAATAAACACTTTGTTGATGATTAGTCCACTAAGACCTCTTCACCTAATTCTGGCTCAGCTGTCAATGAGAACATCCAGCACAGTGGAGAAAGTTCAATTCCTGTAGTCTGCGAACATCAAAGCAAATAACATGGATTTATAGAAGTTAAGCTTGAAAGACAAACCGCTAATCATACTAAAACTGCAAATTAGTAGCATTACACAGTAAAGTAAGTGTGAACTTGTTTCATGATTGCCAACAATCAAATGAATTAATTCTTACAATCAGCAATTATAGTGTTAGTGGGACTGGGGAACGATTTAGAGAAATAAGTTGATGTATCCTAAGGGTGACAACTCTTTAACTCCATGATGCTTTACCATTTCAACAAGCTGACTATGTTTTCCACAATCTTCTCCCAAAATAAACATGAAAATAAAAAATAAGAGTCTAGTTCTTCCATATTTCACTGGGAAACGTCACTGAGAAGATACCTGACAAATAACACTGTTAGTGTAGTTCTCCACACCACTGAAGTGTTTCTGGGTCAACAACAGGGAATGATTATGCTGCTGTATAAATGAATCACTTAAACCTGAATTAATTTTAAAAGCTAGAAAAATAACTGGTCATAATACACAATATTTAAGATTAAAGGAATCTATCAGCCGCAAACATACTGCTATTTGAACTGACTGGTCTTTGGATTTCATTTGCACGAGGACAACAGTCTCAAGAGTCCAGACTGTTGAAAATCTACATGAAGTCTGGTCCACATTACAGCGAATGTTGGCAAAGAGCTGCTCACAAACCAATTTATTAGTTTCATTGCTAGAGTTGATGTGCATGGTTGCATCTCTCAGTGGGTGGACATTATCATTATCAGAGTGGCTCAATTCCAGCTGAGATTATAGCCTTGGTGACTGAAACTTACAAAAAAGCACATCACAGTGGGCACTTTCACACATAGTATTTTCTGGAAAATTACTGGCAAATTTAAATTACTGTTAGAGTCCATGTATGAGAACAAGCCCTTTTGAGAAATACCAGGTTAGGAGGTGCAAAATTACTGGTACATTTATGCATTTAGCTGGTGCTTTTATCCAAAGTGCACAATAGTGGAACATAAACAATTCATCACAGAGCAAGCAATACACATAGTATACAATGGGAGGTTTATTTGAAAGCTAGATTGGGAAACAAGCTAGAGCATAAGTCAAATCTTTAAGTCGTTTTGGAAAAAAGCATATGCTAAATGAATTAATGTAAATGAAATGTTGTGTTACTCACCAGTAAAGTAAATTCGGCAATTTTAATGGTAATTTACCAGGTTTAATGTGTGAAATCATTAAAGGTCCCATGGCATGAAAATGTCACTTTATGAGGTTTTTTAACATTAATATGAGTTCCCCTAGCCTGCCTACGGTCCCCCAGTGGCTAGAAATGGCGATAGGTGTAAACCGAGCCCTGGGTATCCTGCTTCGCCTTTGAGAAAATGAAAGCTCAGATGGCCCAATCTGGAATCTTCCCTTTATGTCGTCATACGGGGAAAGGTTACCTCCCCTTTCTCTGCTTTGCCCGCCCAGAGAATTTGGCCCGCCCATGAGAAAATGAGCTACTACCGTGCGAGGCGAGCACAATATTTTTTTTCCTTGAGACATCATGGCTTGCGAACGAGCGAAGCATGGCAGTTGCCCCGCCTCTCTCCTCCTCATTAGCATTAAAGCTACAGACACAGAAATGGCACGTCCTAAGGAAAGCTCATTGTGGGACTGGCTCGTAGTGGCTGAAATTCTGCACCAAGGCTGAATTTCGGTAAAGAGACTTCAGGTACAGTACTAGGGACCACGTAGGCCTATATAAAAGCACCCAAAAAGCAGCATGTCATGGGACCTTTAATGTCTCCTAGTTTCCCAAATATACCTATGGTTAAAAAAAATCCTTCTATTTTCAGTTTTCTAATTCAATCAAAGACTTCAGGCCTGTTCACACCAAGTTAGATAACGATAATATGGAGTTAAAAAAATTGCAATATGGTAGAATATTTCCCATCTTCTAAATAAAAGCATCATAGGACATGGGTTTAGGTTGGACATGTGCATAGGACAGCACATGCCCATTGGCTGGTCCAGCCTAAAATAAACGCTTTTTTTAATGCTATTTAGGCATTAGAAACAACATTTATGGCATAGTTAATGTCAGATTTGATGTCAGATGACGTAATTTAAATGTGAGTGTGGTAAGCAGTTTTTAAGAATTTTGGATTTCCCTATTCAAGTAGGTAGGACTTGGTCTTGGATGCCCTAAATAAATGCCCGGAGGCATTGCAAAAATAAATTAATTAAATTAAATTAAATTAAATTAAATTAAATTAAATTAAATTAAATTAAATTAAATTAAATTAAATTAAATTAAATTAAATTAAATTAAATTAAATTAAATTAAATTAAATTAAATTAAATTAAATTAAATTAAATTAAATTAAATTAAATTAAATTAAATTAAATTAAATTAAATTAAATTAAATTAAATTAAATTAAATTCCTTCCTTCCTTCCTTCCTTATTTATTTACGTACGTACTTTTTATTAATTTTTTTCCCCCATACAACAATTTTAGCAAAAAGTTGAATTGAAAACTGAACATGAAGTTCAGGCATTTGACAGCAGCACTTCACAAGTTGGTGTCAAACCTAATGATCATATTGTATGATTTTTCAGTATGATTTGAGAATAAACCAAAGAGCATTTAAGCTTCAGTGGAAGCAAGAATATCTGACATTTAACCATCTGAAGGAGTTCATATGGTTAATGTCACAAATTTGCTTATGCAATTCACCTATAAATAGTGCAGAATCTGAAAAATTTCTTATAAATTTTATGTAAAATTAGATTACAAATCCCAGGTTTTCATGGAAACTACTGTAAATGAAAACACAATGGGACTCACCCCTTCCTCTCTCTCCATCTCAAGGCCCATCTCACGCAGGTTCTCCTCAAACTCCTCCCTGCGGAGGCGCTGGTCATCGTCATGGTAATCCAGCCTCTGTTCCTGGGCTGCGAGTTCAGGGTCCTCATGAGCAGGTGGGTTGCTCTGTTCACGTCTGAATTTGCAGCACAAGCAGGACTTGGATGACTGTTTGCGAGTGCTCTGGGGCTTCTGGACATGGTAGGTGAGGACATAATCTATCCGCCTTAAGCCATCCTGGAAGTACGGCCACAGCTTTGGGTCCTTTGGTCTCTCATTTCCCTGCTGAGCTTTCCGGAGCTGAGAAAAAAAAAACAGTTCATAAAAGAGTATTATATGCATTTGTATAGTTTTTTTTTTTTAATAAGAGACTAATTTGCATTAGTAGATTATTATATGATTTTAAGTAAATATCTTTTGACATTTTATTTAAAATAGATGAAGAGATTATAAAAAATTATATGGACAGAAGTGATAATGGGATCTAAAAATAACTTCACAATAACAAAATCATGATGCTAACTCTGACCTTCAACCTCAAACCTTATAAACCAAAAATAAATGCACTAGTAATATTAAAGGGGTCATATGATGTTGCTAAAAAGAACGTTATTTTGTGTATTTGGTGTAACGAAATGTGTTTATTCGGTTTAAGGTTCAAAAAACACATTATTTTCCACATACTGTACATTATTGTTTCTCCTCTATGCCCCGCCTTTCTGAAACGCCTCGATTTTTACAAAGCTCATCGGTCTGAAAAGCGAGGTGTGCTCTGATTGGCCAGCTATCCAGTGCGTTGTGATTGGCCGAATACCTCAAGCGTGTGACGGAAATGTTACGCCCCTTACATATTGTGATGCCTTGTCCCGGCTGGAGCGACGAGACAAAAACATGAAAACCCATTATAAACGAGGCATTCGTTGCATCCAGTGGGGACATAATTACGGATTATAATGACTTATACTGTCTTTTTACGCGTGGCGTTGCATTGCGCCGCGTAAACATAAAACCATGTCTGCATTTGTGATCGGAGAAATGACAAA